CCAAACAGGTAAAAATGAACCCATAACTGGTGGTCTAGAATTTGGGAGCTCGTTCTAAAAGTTGCAAGGGCAGACTGACCCGAAGCCCGCAGGGAACTAGGCATACCAGTGCCAGCACCCAGTGGGCAGAAAAGCACAGAGTTCTTATTGCCCTAGGAACTAGGTCATTCAGTTAGGGTATTACATGTACTCTTTTGTGGGAAATATTGCTGTTACATAGCACATACTGTATAGATACAGACAGAGATCTTTTATACTGGTAAGTGAAGTGATGCTCCAGGAATATCACATTATTTTGTAGTCAGGGGGACCTGCACCTTGAGAAGAATGGCATTATTGTTTTTCTTATATAATGTCATATTTTTTCAGTCTGGAACAAGATGGTTGAGTTCCTTTATTTGTATCTTGTTAAGCACAAAGCTACACAGTGGGCCATCTGTGCTGTGCCCACCATAGGTATTGGAACACTATTTTTAGTATTATAAATCCACAAACTTACAGCTGAGCCACTGAGGAAGAGATAATTGAGAGGAATATTGATCTGATTACTACAAGTACTGATTCATTTAAATAACACACTCCTGTACATATGGCAAAATACACTTTCTCTTAAAATTTTTCATTACTGACCGTGAGTGCTTGAATATCAATTGTTCATTGTGTGATAAATTACATCTAGTCTATTTCTTCACTTCTGACTTAGTTGAGGTTAAAAATTCAGATGTAACTCTGTGAAACATTTTCTAGTGAACCTCACCTACAGCTATTTTGTGACTCCTACAGTTATAAAAAGGAAAATTATATTTTTGTTAATGGGGAATTGCTAGAAAAAAATTTTTCTTTCAGAAACAGCCTGTATTATTTCATTGAAACATTTCTGAAATAAGTAAAATGCTGTTCAGTACATGCTGGGGGTACCCTGAGTACACAGCATTGAATTAATTTGCAATACTAATAATTTGTTCTATATGATTTACATGAAATATTCATGGGAATATTTTTCATATAATTAAAATTCTCTTGTAACAAAACTTCAGTTTATGCATACACACTTAAATATAAAATGTTTTTTCACAAATTATACTTATAATTATAAAGTTATAAAAAACCTTTCTTATAAAATTCTTACATATTATACTTTTCCAATATAAAATAATCTAATTAAAGAAATACCAGTAATAGGTTATATTTGTCAAATAATATTTTATTATGAATTAGACTAAACTATTTATTATAAATTTAAATTATCATGCCATTGGAATATTCACTTCAGTCATTTCACATACAATTAGATTTCATTATCGTAATTCAATCATGTGTCTAAAGGATAGCTAACGAAACATAAATGACTTTACACTTTGTAGCTCAAAGAACATTAACCTATGTTAAACCACTAAAATCTCTGACATTCATCCCATCTGATCATAACTTTATGATATAATTTCAGTTCCAGAACATTTGTATACATCTTAACAAAGTTCTATAATCCTTGATATGCAGCTACAGAAAATAATATTTTTCACAAACAGCAGGCTTCTACAAGATAGCAAGCACGTTAAGGACAGCAAGCATGCAGGAGAAAGAATATTTGTAGAGGCTTTACTTTTCTAAAGTGATCTTACCTAAAAAAAAAGTCTTGAGGATGACTAGGTCCAAACTTCAATCATCTTATATGGCATCAAGGTATCCGCTGTTAACTCCCCCCAGACCTTAAGAATCACTATTCACTATACTTTGCACAGTCTTCTATGAAATACTCAGACTTTCCAAATTCTCTTTTTCAGTAACCATAAATATAAAAATATTTGTTTATTATTTTTCAATTATAAATACATTCATGAGTGATTCAAAATACGTACATAGTATCATTCTCAACCCAGAGCTCCTTGGCACAATAAACCCTCATCATAAGTAAAATGAAAGTTAAAATACGTTGTTTATTTAGAATGTGATTTATGATATTATATTTTATCCAAGGTCAAATTTAACAGGTGCTATCAGGACAAAAAAGAAACAAATTAAAAATGTAAACCATTTAGCTGATGTGTGTGAGAAAAGATGAACATATCTATTAGAAAATATTACCTATATTTTCCAAAAATAAATAAGCTCACTCTCCAAAAACATCACCAAATTCCAGCATACTTTATAAAATTGAATGATATAAAATCAAAAACCAGTATGACATGGACCAAATTATTCAAATATATGGAGTATTAAGTTCTACAAACATACTGATATGAGCTGCAAGAAGATAATTTTGTATTGGAATTGTGCAACCAGCCATGGCCATCAAAAAGTATTAGTAAAAAAAATTATAAAGGTTAGTGGTAATTATAATATAATATGGAGACGAACAAAACACACATGAAGAAGTCAAGATTAGAATACATCACAATTATCGACAAGATAAAACTGACATGTGTAGAAGACATGACAATAGAGACAAGTGTGATGTGTATAATAAACACATATTGAAAATAGACGTTAATAAACACACTGACACAAATGGAATGTGTCCAATTACTAATCATTGACAGAAAATAGCTACCATTAGAGCTGGATGATTAGTGGAATTTGCTAATTGATTAGTTTCTCATGAAACTTGGATAGTTGGAATAATCGAAAACAGTAATAATTGGAAATACTAATTTCAATTAGTTAATTATTTTTCTGATTTTAATCCATTTAATCATAATTTCAATTAACTGATTAAACAAGATAATTACCCAGCTCTAGCTATCACCAGTATATATAACCAAAAAACCCTGACATCAACATACATTATCAACAAAAGTGAAATACAGTGGATATAATAATAACCTATAGAAGACCGACATTAACAAACAGCTGACAAAAACAGTGTAAGTGGTAAATGAGGAAAATAACTGTTGACTGATAATACTTACATAAATAAAATGTAGTGTAGGCAATATTTATCTATGAAGGATTCCCATATTAAACTTGACCAATGTAATTGATACATATGAATTAATTAAGAAAATTATTGCTAAACATGGTGTGATCCATGCAGCTGAAACACGTATAAAGCTGAGATTATTAGATAATAGCTACATGTTTCAAGCGTGATGCATATATATAACAGACAAATGAGGAAGATACATGATGGCAACAATTTTTGATATAAACAACTTAAAGAAGGCTGGGATCACATAATAAAGTGTAACCTATATGCGATATATTTGAAAGGTTATACCAATAAGCATTACTGACATGTATAAAGTATGGCCTATATAAATGTTGATCAAGAAAGCTTGTTGATTACTTCTTATTACATAGCCAATTCATGAATAAAGGTAATAGCTGATAAACACAAATGACACAAAATTATCACAGTTTTTCATGGTCGAGGCTTATTCAACACTCCGACTAATACAGAGTAAAGTATAGACTACAAGTATACCATTGGTTCTTAACGAAGAATTATAAAGTACTATAAATATGATAAAAAATACACAAAATTCTTGTCCTTATAGATGGCTTAAGTAAATATATTCTCTTGTTCAGATTAATATATTTGTTCATATAACAAGATACAAAAACATTTTTTTTGGCAATTCATCATTTTAGCTTTTAGAGAACAAATAAAATTTAATAATATGGTGTACACTGTATAAGTTATTAATCAATCTTAAGTATAGGATGTGTGTTAATTTATTATAGAAATATGCATAATATGCAAATATTTTTATTGTACTTAAATGTCTGTGAAAAGCTGTAGGTGACAAAACAACATTATTGTAAATAAATTGAATGATACACAAATACACAGTTAATTCAAAGTTTGAAAAACTCTTTAGAAACAGCAGAAAGGAGTTGATTGGTGTTAAAGACAGTCATGATATACTTGAAAAAGTATATACAAAATATATTCATTTGTGTAATTATTGAGATTTGTCATTATCACTTTAAATAGAGTGAACATTATATGATTAATGCAAAATATATGACTGTGTATTGATCTTAATAACTCAGAGTACAATAAATTAGATCATTTTTTCAGATCTTAAATGGTTCATTAGATCATTTTCAAATTCACTTCCCCAGAAACAATAACTGATTTGCTATGAGTAAAAACAAGCTCTTCTGTAAGAATCTGTCTAGCACCATAAGGGCTTGGATAGCAAGGAGGCGAATGAGAACTACCAATTACACAAGAATATACAAATTATTAATTTCTGCTTTAGCAAGCATGCCTCTGTCACTACTGGCAGCCTACCACACTCCACTGCAATACTAAACACTGAAGCTAGCCACCACCTAAAACAATAAATCAGCCATGCTTAAATACTCCCTGTTGAATTTCAGATAGTAAACAGGACAAGCAATGATGTACACCAAGCTTCACAAGACAAAAAATACCTCATGTCCATCATGCAGAATATTAACTACAGTCTGCTCAGCTGGAAACTCCTAACCACCATTACATCTCTTGGTATTCTTTAATTTATCACTACAAATTTTTGTAGTTATTGACATTTGAAAGTAATTTTCAATGAAATCAGTTTTTCTTACTTTTCAAGTGCTCCTTCACAACAATTTTGGATCTCTAGTTAGGATTAGACCTTCATGTCAACAGATACATCACACCACAACAGGAGAAATACCATTTAACTGAACATGCATAGAAACTATCATGAAATCTTTTCAAGTATTAATCTTGTAATATTTAGTTCTTACAGATTGTTTAGACTGATATTTCTCTTTCCTGATGAAAATAGAATAACTTGAATATTTTCCATTCTAAATATTAACAATGGATTATCTATCTGATTTATAACATACTACTAACATTATTATCTCTAGCTTCATTGATTTTCTTATCTGATATGATATTAATACTTGCTAGAATAATATATATATCTATTATACTTAAATATAAAAAAAAAATCATACTTTGTAGTTTAAAAAGGAAAATGAAAACATACTTTTTATTAGAAATGTTTTCTGACTGAAAAAGGAAACACATTGTAACATACCTGTGTTTGGAGACGAGTAAGGCCACGAATCCACAAAATCTGTCCAGTGCGCTTGGCATCTTGGGTTCCAGCAATTGAATCTCGCTTCAAGTCTTCATTGTCCGAAAGAGCATGATCAAGTTCGTCTGGCGTTCCTGATCCCCATGTGAAGGTTTTGGGGATCTTTTTGGTGGGGATTGTGGTGATGATTTGGCCCCAGAGCAGTGTTCCGCAACCAAAAAACACACACCACATCCATTGTTGTACAGTAAGGCCTGCCGTAGAAAAAGCATAACCACCAAACTGGACAATGATGAACTGAAATAAAACATTGTGGTATAAAAAATGCACTAAATGAATGGTCCCAGCACATAAGAAATTCAACTTAAAAATTATATTTTTGTGTACAATAAAACAAATATCAAGAACATCTGATCAAGAATAAGGTACTACACAGATCAGAATATAATAACCTAAAAGCAACATGCACATTAACGAAGAAAATCCTGTATAATAAACTAGCTAGAAATATTAAATTAATATTGATTTACAATCAGAGGTAGCTACCTATTTAAAACAAGACTAGAAATCAACTTGGTAATGAATACAGCTAACAGTCTGAAAAATAAATACACCAGAAGAATAAAAACCATAATAATAAGATTGCACTGGATGATCTGCTGAGAACCCATGCTTTTAATAATATATTTTTTTTTATTCCAAAATTTCTTTCTCATCAAATTAAACATTGTCATCCAAAATATTAAAAAAAAAAATTCAAAATTTTAATAATACTTTCATCATTTCTAATGGTTTCATTGTTAATAAATTAATTTAAAGATTTTATTCAATCAAAACTTTTCAAATGTTTTATTTGATTTTTATAATTGAAATATATCTCTCAATAATAACATAGTTTTCTATAACATGTTGTGAAATTTAGAGCTTTACTAGCTATATATACACACACACACACACACATTATATAGACTTATTAGTTAAGTGTTACATCTTGGTTCTTATTCTTTGGCTGTATGAGATTTCTAAGCATTATTTATTACATATACTATCAAGATACTCCGTGATCATAACAAAATTACTAGAGAATTACATATGGAGCTTTAGCTTTAAGTAAAATAACTGAAGCTAAATTGTGATAAAAAATATTAAAATATGTTTCATGTACCATCAGTGTAGTTTTACAGCATAATTTTAATTTACAACATTAAACATATAATCCAGTAGGTTTCTAATATTTGGAATTATAAAAGTGATTCTCAAATTAAGGTCAAAAGTATTTAATGATATACACATATTTTCCTTTTTTAATATTTAATCAGATTATCAATTAAACCAATAATTGCTGATGATTAATAATTAAATAATATCTGATTCTTTTAAACAAACTGCTTAAAGAACTCAACTTCAGCATTACTCGATTGTTACAATACTGCTATAGTTTATGAGGTGTGACAGATTTAGAAATAATTTAATAGATAACTAAAATTGAGAATTGTAAGTAATTTCAAAATAGAGTATAAGGTTAAAAGTATTTCTACAGTACCTTTGTTCATTGATATTTTGAATAAATTGATTTTGACTTATTTCTTAATTAATTTTTTTTTTCATTTCCTCCACAAAGAGTAACAATAAGAAAAACAAAATATATTAATACCTGTGCTGCAAAAGTTACAAGCAAGATAGAATAAAAGACCGGATTTCTAAACAGTCCTTGGAAGATGTTCCTCTCTCCGTGTATTTTCCGTGCATTGATTTCATTGAAAAGTGTCATCATTACAAAAGTGTTGAAAATGATAGTGAAATGCTGTGAAGGAGGTGAGTGTAGAGGGGCATGCATACCTGAGTCGATGTCAAAGAATTTGTGACCTGAAATTAAAGAATGGTAAAATATTAATGTAACCTAACGGTCTTCAAAATATTAAATGAAATAGCACATTTCATTGTAAAATCCATTAATATTGCCACAGAAGAAGTATTTATATTCTGAATAATTTAGTGTTTGTATTCATCATTAAGTTTCTATTTGAACCAAATAGTACATTAATTAAAACTGGAATATGTCTTATACTAATGCAGTAAAATATCTAATAATCATGAAAAAATTGAAACATTTTATTTGTATATCAGATTTTATTAACATCTATTGAAATAAATCCTTATAATTAGTAGTTGTGAGTTTAAATTTTAGGGTTGTATGTTTATTTTTCTATTCATCTATCGATATTTTTTTAGAATTGTGTAATTGAAAACGTTTTTGAAACAAGGATAAAAAAAACTGTGAATACATCTAAAACAATTTTTACTGTTTATATAATTGTTCCACAAAGACTTAAACATGCTTTCTCCGTTTCATAGTAGATTCAATATTAACTATTTATAAACATAAAAGGTCTTCTGCAGCTAGTATTTCTTAACTTACTCATTTTTCAACAATTACATGTTTAGAGTAATAAGAATTATGTCTTAAAGATCATTTTCATAAAATGATTTGCTTATACAGTATAAAGATCTCACAGTACGTTTGATTACAATTTTAACACTTTGTTCTGCTTTTATGATTCAAGTGACCATAAGAACTGTGTTATTGAACACAATGTTTTGACCTATAACCAAGAACACTCAAATATAGCCCCATTTAAACATCCATATAGTGATCAGTTATAAAAAAATAAATACAAAAATTAAAGAGTATTTACTAACTTTCTGTGTAACCCTTCAAGAAACCTTTACTTAAACAGTTTTATGTTTTACTACATACGGCTAGATTGGCAAGATCCAGTACTGACCAAAGGATTTAGTTCACAACATCCTGCAACATATAAGCAAAACAAATCAACATCACAACTGGTAAAATAAAATCCATATTATGAACAGCTGAGTACATTATGATAGCCCGTTAGTTTTATTGAAAAGTGCCCTACTGTTAATAGGTAAGGGATTGACCCTTTAGATCATTTTAATGTCATTTAAAGTGCAGGAGTTGATGTTGTTGAAATAGTTTAATCCATTAAAGTTTTACCTCCAAATAAAAACCCAGTCAACAACTTTATATGTTTGAGCCTTGTTTGTAAGAAGAATGGAATGGTGGTGGGTAGTTAGTCTGATTCAGCAATGTCTTACTAACATAGCCAGTAAGTTAACTTTCTAAGCTTCGAAGATGAGTCTTGTGTTTGTAAGAAGAATGGAGTGGTGGTGGGTAGTTAGTCTGATTCAGCAATGTCTTACTAGCATAGCCAGTAAGTTAACTTTCTAAGCTTCGAAGATGAGTCGTGTTTGTAAGAGGGGTAGAATGGTGGTGACAGGCTAGTCTAGTCGATCATTAAACAATGTCCTATTGGTATAGAGCCTTGTTTGTAAGAGGAATAGAATGGTGGTGACTGGCTAGTCTAATTGATGATTAAACAATGCCCTAATGACATACAGCCTTGTTTGTAAGAGAGGTAGAATGGCGGTGACTGGCTAGTCTAGTCGATGATTAAACAATGTCCTATTGACATAGAGCATGGTTTGTAAGAGAGATGGAATGGTAGTGCTGGCTAGTCTAATTGATGATTAAACAATGTCCTATTGACATAGAGCATGGTTTGTAAGAGAGGTAGAATGGTGGTGACTGGCTAGTCTAGTTGATGATTAAACAATGCCCTAATGACATACAGCCTTGTTTGTAAGAGAGGTAGAATGGTGGTGACTGGCTAGTCTAATCGATGATTAAACAATGTCCTATTGACATAGAGCCTGGTTTGTGAGAGGAGTGGAATGGTGGTGACTGGCTAGTCTAGTCGATTATTAAACAATTTCCTATTGGCATAGAGCCTTGTTCATAAGAAGGGTGGAATGGTGGTGGCTGGTTAGTCTGATTAGGCAATGCCTTACTAACATAGCCAATAAGTTATCTACTTAGTTGTAGTTCAGTTGATAAGTGCTTGAGATTCCCCATCTTTTTTTAATTGGGTTCTGAGTCTCAGGAAGTGTGGTAGTGACAAAATAAAACCAACAGTGTGTTGTTGAAAACATGATGGTGACAAAAATTGATAAGTGATTGTAGAATAAATGAGAAAACTACAGCCATAAGATATCACCGTTTCCTTGTCTAACCCCAACCGGTCTACAGCAGCAAGTTGTTTGTGTCCATGAGCAAGGCACTTTACCTCAATATTTTCAAGCCTAATCAGCTGCATGGTGGAGACCAGCTGTGGGTTAGGGGTTAACTTGCAATGGATTGGTATCCCATCCAGAGGGAATGCATTACCATTCTCATCCACTCGTACCAATAATTAAACTGGATTTCAGCACCAGATCTTATGTGCCATTTTGGTATGGGAAGGATTTGACCTTGACCTTTGACTTTAACAGCAGCAACTCACAATGAGGAATATTTGCATTAAAGAAAACCAAGAGATACATACTGTTGACAATAACTGTCAGGCTTGAGAGTTATAAATGAATCTGTAAAAGTACATATTAGGTCAAATAAAAATGCCTCTGAAGATAATAACAGCCTCATGCTATAAATGATGATAAATTAAAAACAACATTAACTATAACCAATTTTGTGTACAAGACTGCTTAAAATAGATGAATGAAAGTAACTGATGGCTCAGAGCTCAACCACATGTAATATAAAAACATCAGACTAGCCTAAAGTATGAAAAGGACAATTTACCTAAAAACAACAGAGTAAAAATAACAACCAACTGGTAAATGGCATGGCCTAAAATATTTTTCATCATGGTTCGAGATATGAGTGGTTTGGTGCGACCATATGGTTTTCTGAGTAATAACTGCGATGTTGGGAGTTCAGTGGCCAATGCCAGAGATGCCAAAGTATCCATGATCAAATTTACCCAAAGCATTTGAACAGCCTTTAAAGGACTATCCTAAAAAAAAAGATACAAGTAACTTAAGTTTTAGAAATTCTTCAAATTAATTAAATCGCCATTTTCTGTTCAAGATACTTTGATGAAATATAGCTATTTCTTTACCAAAAACAAGTTAAATTATGCTATTTTTATTGATATTTAACTACTTCTTGGGTGAAAACTGGCTAAAAACATGTTACATTATGCTATTTTCAACTAACTATTTTCAGATTCATTTGCTGCTAAGAAAATGAAAACAAACACCAAGTATTTATGTAAATGGATTTCAAATAATTCCAAACAAATATTTTTCATACAAGTTATCGATTATCAACTATTTAAACGCTGCATTTTATGAATTTATTTATACAAACGAAGACATAGTTTAAATAAAAAATAAGTTAAATCAATTATATCAAGCATATCATCATATTGTTTATAACTGAAGAAAAATATTTTTTTTTTCAGATCATAATAACAGAACATTCAAAATTTTTAGTTTAAATTCCCTTTCAAACTTACGTTGTGCTACAAACATGAAGTATATAACTTTCAACTATTGTAATACAGATTACTATACTTACAAAAGATCAACACTACTGTGGTGACATAGAGGGGCTTTAGAAAAACAAAAAAGTGGAATAATCCCCATGTCACCACAGGGGTAAGTCTGAGGGCTTATAATGCAAAAAAGTGTATTTAGATGCCCATTGTAGGCAGGGCCCTGGGAGCCCATTGTGTAGCTTTGTGCTTAACAACAAACAGTATTTATAAAGACAGCATAAAGAGTGTAAGATGTCAGTAGTGAATACGATAATTCAAAAGATTTGAGGTTGTTTGTTGAGTTTAACATTTTGAATTTCCAGACAGTAACATTGTTTTCAGATTATTTCAGACCTATCTAAGCCAATGTACTTTAACATAGCGTAAAACAATCTTGAAATAGAGTACTCAGTCAATGGATTGAGAGTGTGATGAACAGGTGGTATTGTTATTCATGTTTGCTGAAGTGAAAGGTTTAGTATGGGAAAGCATCAATAGGTTTATATATTGCTTTCAATACTTATGTGATTACACAAAAAAATCTGATGAAGTTCTGCTGAAACGTCTTACCATCACTAGTAAGCATGAACCCTTTCTAATTATAAATGATAGTCAAACCAGTTAGTATATTTTAAAGTGTTTTTGATTTACAAAAGTTGAGAATATTTCAGACATAGGTTTTCCTATATAGATGATTCTCTTAGTTTGTGTTGAAGTAGCAGAAAGTACACGATTTTTTTAACTGTTTGTACCCATAAAAGGAAGTAAACATATTATGTTAGATGTACATAAATATACCTGTAGTAAAATAAGTGTCATACTAAAAACTGTTTACTTATGGAAGACTTTAACTAAAGAGCCACAATCTTGTAGTAAGAATCTATATATCCATAAATTGCATAACATTCATGTTTTATCTTACTTCTTCTGGTCTTATAGGAATCATCCCAAGAAATTACTTTTTTAGGATTTTGTATCCTGTGGCTTCCTACATTTTGTCATAAGATTATATTGTTTCATAATTCTAGATAAAACAATGGTTAGTGTGCCGTACTGTGAAGTCAAAGTTCCATGTTTTGCCTCCCCTTAATAAAAAAAACAAAAACTGTGTTCTTTGCAGTGAGGGGTTGTGGGTGTATGAGAGTGATGAACAAATCTCACTATTTAGTCTAATTAGAGTAACTCAAGAGTTGGCAGTGGTTAGTGTTGACTAGCTGCCTTCTCTCTAGTCTATCACTTCAAAATTATGGACATCTAATGCAGATAGCCCTCAAGTAGCTTTGCACCAAATTCAATAAACAAACAAAAACAACAATGAAACACTTAATTAATAGTCAAAACCCCTTATTCTCTAGTATTTATGTTATTTTAGTCTTGGACAATAATGTTACACTTCTGTGGATAAATCAGAAATCAGTTTTTAGCCCAGACCATTTATGATTGAAAAGGTTAATAATAATGACATTAATGAAGTAAAACAGCGTTAACACATATTGTTTAGCACTTAAAAAGATGATTTATTATGAAGAATATTTTTATATGAGATAAGAGGTTTATAAAAGGTATTATGTTACAGCTAACAACAAACATAAGCAACAATGGTGACTAACCTCTATTGCACAGGCTCCAACAAAAGCAACAATCACAGCAACAACATTTACTGTAAGTTGGAACTGTAAGAATTTGGCAATGCTATCATAGACATTTCTGCCCCATATCACAGCTTTGACAATACTTGTGAAGTTATCATCTGTTAGAATGATGTCCGATGCTTCTTTTGCTACATCAGTGCCAGCGATGCCCTAGGTCAAGATAACGCAGTGTTACATAACAAACCAAAACATAGATTGTATCATTTGTCCTCAACACAACAACATCTAGTGAGTAAAGTACTCCGCCCCCCCCAAAAAACAATACTGCAGTACAGTTATAATGTGTTTATTTCAAATTTAACAAAACAAAAACATTTACACATAATAACGTTTGTTATTAAAAGAAATTAATTCAAGTAAATATTATAAATCAATAATGATGCAAAAACAAATTTTCCTGATTGTCTCATTAAAGTGAAAGGATCTGAAAATTTAATAAATCAACATATTTTCTAAACATAAAAACATGAAATTCTGGTTTTATGAACTAGCTGAAATCATGTTGAAGAAGTTACAACCATGCCTCTTTAACAAGTTCCATCTCATTAAAAAAAAAAAGTTATAAAATTAAGACATAAATGTAATTATTTAATATTAAATAAGTGATTAGTACCTGAGAGTTTTTGTAAGCAAAATTCTGCTATCAGATATTTTGTATTCAAATTACAGGAAGAAACAGTTGTTTAGAAACCTTGACATTAGATGTTTTGGTTAGAAACTAAAACAATTAGTACTGTGCAAGTATTGTTGGACTTTAAGCTAATGCCATACATTAATTTAAAGATTCCTCAATTTTAGATTTGTATCCCCTAAGTTAAGAAAAGCTGGAGCCAGGGCTGGTATTGTACTTACAATCCATGGAAAGAGGTAGTTGGTTTAGAAACTAAGACAACAAGCATTTTATTTACAAACCATTGCAAAGCCAACATCTGCTTTTTTCAGAGCAGGGCCATCATTTGTCCCATCTCCTGTTACAGCAACAACTTCTCGATTGGCACTAAGTTTACTGTCAATGATGCCCTTGACCAAGGTATACTTGTCTTGAGGAGATGATCTGGCCAGTACTCTGAGCCTTGGCCAAACCTTATCAATCAAATGCTGTTGTATCTGGGTACATAAAGGAGAATTCGCAGTTATCCAATTAAGAGAGATTAAAAAAAAATCTTTTTTTTGAAAAATTCAATAGTTTTAATTTTCAGGACAGATATTCAAGTAGAAAAAAACTGAATAAAGTACAGGTTAAACCTTCCTTAAAAAGTAAACCACTGAAAGACTAAGTTCACTTAGCAACTTAATTATCTACTCATTAAAATCTAATAAACCTGTTGCTATTATAGACAGTTTTTATTTCCAATATCATTTTGTTTTAGAGTAAACTGTTTAATAACTTATGACACAACTATTTTAAAATTATAGCTCACTGCAACTGAACAAGTTAATGGATTAAATAATAAGATACATTTCTTCAAACATATCATCATGGGCATGCTTATAACATAATTATGTAATTGTCACACTACATCATATTTATAGAGAACACACATTATTATAAATTAAAGCTGAATTAAGTTAATGGAATTAAACAGTAAGATATATAATTACATGGAATTAAATAATAAGATACATCTCTTCAAACATAAAGTTGTGGACATCTATAACATAATTATGTAATTGTCACACTACACCATATTTATGGAGAATATTTATTGTCATAACTTAAAGATTTTATCACTAAAGTTTGTGTTGGTGTCCTTACCTCTCCAGTATGGTCTCTCACCCTCTTGTTAAATTCTTTCCCATCTAAGACCAGGAAATCATCACAGGGCTTTATTATACCACACTTGGTGGCAATAGATCGAGCAGTGTTAACATTATCTCCTGTTACCATTCTTACTGTGATTCCAGCCTTCTGGCACTTTTTGATGGCATCTGGAACCTAGTGTCAAATCAAGCAAATACACAGGCTACATTCTGTTGTTTATTTTTAGAATTAAAGTACTCAATTTCACATACTATAAAACTTTATGTTTCAATATTTATATATAGTGTCAGTTAAAAGTTTAAGACTATATAATATTTATTGAAAAACTATTGCACTGTTTTCAGTTAATAACTTAGGATACATTTAATGTGGTATTCTTTTAGTTCTTATTAATTATTATTATTTATATGATCTATGTACTTTTTCAGCTAACAGTTGTTTAGCTGTGCTCTCAAGTCTGTTTATGCATGATGCCAGCTCACACCCAATTAGAATCAATTGTAATATTATTCTTACAGCAAAATAAAATGACTGACTCTGGGTATGCTAAAGTCTTTGTTTATGTGAAGTATAGTCATATACATGAGTTGGTTGTCATGTGCAAATAAATTGATCAGATGTTACATCAGCAGTCAATAACTGTTTCATGTTGAACTGTACTCAAGAATGTAGAGTTTGGGATTAGATATTGCTTGAATGATTAGTGCTTATAAGTATTGTGGTTTAATTAATCAGTGAATTTGAAAGTGTTGTATTACTTTTGATAATTTACAAAGTTAGGCTTTGTTTTTCTAATTCTTTTTCTTAACTTCTTGTGCCAAGATTATGAGCTAGAATTTTAGTTGTGTTATTTGGAAAATTTTTAAATAGTGAGTATATTTTGTTTAACTTGCAAAACTTTTAATAAATACTCTGTTTTTTTTAAGAAACTTGGTATTAATGTTTGAATTATTCTTAATGTAGAATAAAGGGTTTGTCACGTAAAGATATAGGGTGCAGTGGTCACTCCTACTATATTGTTTACAGTATATGAATCATATATGTCACATTGATTACTTTTGATTTAAGAACCAATGAGATCATATTGTATTATTTATTCTTTATAAGTTTCTCATTATTTGTTTTGCATTGTTTACTGATGCTAAGGACCTGACACTATTTCAATTATATATATATATATATATATATTGCTTTTCATGGGGGGTTAAAACACACCTAGAAGGTCACTAAGGCATGATTGGGGTCTAGGGGTAGGTTTTCAGGGTTGCTAAACCTGAATCTGGCATTGGCTTTTGTGTTCTTGGCTGCTCTTGGGATCCTGGAGGCACCACATTTGAAACTTTTTTTTCATACTTCCACTCAAAAGCTAGTGGGACCAAATGTGGCATATATGTTCAGGTACCATAGGTGGATATCTTAATAGGGTTTGGTTTTGGGTAGAAACTCCCTCTTAATGTTAGCTATAGAAGTAACTGGGGATAATGGAAAGGTATGATCAGTACAGTGGGACCTCTGTAAATTATGAGGGGGCTTTTGAACTCCACAGAGGAGTACAAGTATTTTATGCAAGTTGTATTAATTATTGTTTCTAAAAATCAGATGGTTTATACCATGTTACTAACTGCTTCTTAAGGATTCATAATTTGCTGGTTACATACAAGTTATACAAAAAAAAAAACAATTAATCAAACTAGTTACTCTTGGGGTTCCCTATAGAAAGTGAATAATTTCTCCCAATTTTTTTAAGCCAGTATTTTTGCACTCAATGTTGTATCAAGTAAAACCATAAAATTACTTAATATGATACAATATGAAGACTCCATATGAGAGTTGAGGCACAGGTGGTTTCTGTCGTTTGTATTATTCTAAGGTTAACATGATTCACATTGGGTTAAGAGACAGGTGGTTTTTGTTATACGTATCATTCTAATGACAACATGGTTTATATTGGGTTAAAGCACAGGTGGTTTCTGTTGTTTGTATTATTCTGAAGTTAACATGGTTCACATTGGGTTAAGAGACAGGTGGTTTTTGTTATACGTATCATTCTAATGACAACATGGTTTATATTGGGTTAAAGCACAGGTGGTTTCTGTCGTTTGTATTATTCTAAGGTTAACATGGTTCACATTGGGTTAAGATACAGATGATTTCGGTTGTATGTATTATTCTAAAGATAACATGGAGTACATTGTATTGTTTCTTAGGATCAAATGAATTGTATTTCAGCTATTAGTGCATTTTTAACTTATTTTAACTTTCATTATTGTTAACTATATCACTGAGAAACAGTCATTAAATTATATTAGCTTCTTTTGATTAATAAACATATTGTGTCAGCTTTTTCTGAAACATGAACATTTATAGAAATAAAAATGATATATAAAACTAAATAATTAAAATATTTTGATATATATATATATTGAAAACTTCCTATTTCTTCTCACGTTGACTTGTAAACTTACATAATGTTCTCACACTTTCAATAACCATTAACAATGTCTAATCTCTTAATGTGTGACAAAATATGTAGCAATGAAAATTATTAATACAGACCTTATGTAATAGTTTCAGGTACTTTTTATTTATTACCTCAAAAACGACATACTCTCATATATATATATATATATATATTATTTTCTTCTAAACTGAATAAGTAACTTACATCACATATAGGTACATGTTTCCCACTATAAATCTAAACAAAATACAGACCATTAAAATTTGTGTCTGTTTCCAATGCAGAAATTATTGTTTTTTTTATCCTACAGCTTTACAAATCAAAAGTATTGTTTTCATTTCTCTACCTCATGTCGAACAGGATCTTCAATCCCAACTATGCATACACAAGTCAACCCACTGGTGATAACTTCTTCTTCATCCCAATTTGGTTCTTCTTCATATAACACTTGGTTGATAGCATTATCTTTTGTGACATAGTCTTTGTAAGCAAGACAGATTGTACGCAGTCCGTTAGAGGCCATTGGTTCAATGACATTGCTCATCATGCGATCCTGGTCTTCTTTGGTAAATGGATCTATTCGGCCTTCATGGCTAAATATGAATGAGCACCTGAAACAGAGAAACAAAACTACTTCTTACTTCTTGTATACATTTTACTCACAATTCCAGCTGACAGAGATTTCTAAAAGTATAAATATAAGCTTCAACAATCATTATCTTACTTGATCATGAAAGGCATCGAATAAAATATTTTTAAATCACCTCTGAACGCAAACATGATTTGTATGTATGACGTTTACATATTAACTCAGAATTGTAACTTGTTAATTTCTTCTTTAGTTCTTTCACAAACTAACAATGTTTGTATAAGTTGATTGGGATGATGTTCAGCTCTAGTTCAAAAACTAGTTCTTAAAATTTTTCTTTTTCATCAGATCTTATATGTATGCGACATTTTAATTAAAATGTTAGACTATTTTTAAATTTCTACCCTTTGAATGAAAGAAAATTTATTTCAACACTTACTTGGAAACATCTTTATTTATATATATATATATAAATGGACCTATAGGTGTTTGTGAAAATAAAATAAGAATTGTATTGCAGTAACCTCAGTTCTAATAGATCAATTTCTACTTTTGGCTTTATATTAGAAATATTTTCAAATTAAAAATTTATCACTTTTAATCTAATTGTTTTAAATGGCTAGTAGTTTTATATAAGATAGAGTTTATGCTTCCTTGGACTGATGCCAAAGTAAAAAAAAAAGAAAGATGAAAAGTGGGGGCACACCCTGGACTAGTGAGAGAGTTTATTGAGAATTCACTTCATTTCTCTCTCTCTCTTTTTTCCAGTCCAACACAGCTGCAACATACCCTCTTGCTCTTGTTTACTAATTTATCTGTGATTGTGGTGTTGTATTTGTTACTAAAGGTTGTTCTTGTGCACCTTCCATGATTTGAGTCTTTCTTCCTAATGAATTCAGAGATCGGAGAAATAAACAAACACATACTCTGTAGCTAGGTATCCTTTGAACCTCCAGTTAGAGGGCCCTAACTGGCTATTACAAAAGAATATCCATGAGTAAAAAAAAACACACACACATATAAAACATGTTAATGATTCTCATCAATTCCTATAATAATTAGCTTTCCTATTAGAATTAACAGAAAGCTTTACATAACATTTCACTCAAGTAATAGTAATAGTTTTCTGAAAGATACTGTACTTGTTTATAAAAATTAAAGTATCAATAACATCTCTAGGTTATCAGTAAAAAATAGGAAAAACAGAGAAGAAAAAGAATTTTAAGAGTTTTAGTCTAATCTTTATCCTTTATAAAACTACAGATCTTGATATGAATATTGAATACTTCATTGCTTTTTTTACTTCTAGAAATACTGATAGCATTATGTACTTTACTGTTATTCAGGCTTTTACTACATGATGCAATTCAGAGCCAAAGTAATATATCTAAAAGCTTTTAATTAGCATACAGTTAGGACAAACCTTATGAGAAAATTATAACTTACTTCTTCATAACTATTTCAGATGCTCCTTTTGTGTACACACGATACCCGTTACTGATATAAATGACTGTACTCATAGATTTCCTGACAGAGTTGAAAGTGTAAACTTTGTGAAGCCTTTCTTCTGGAATGTCATCCCTAACGGTCTGGTAATCTCTACCTAGATCCATCACAAATCCTAGAAGGGCACATTCAGTTTTGTTGCCCACTTGTTTGGGTAGTTCTCCTGGGCAGTCTGGTGGCTAAAAAGAAGAAAGGGACAGTTGATGTTTTGAAGGTATGAGAAACCTTTATGAAAAAAGTGAAAGCTGCAGAAAAACTATTACACTTAACATAAAATATGATGATTATTTAAATAAAACATAAGAAACAAATAACAGTTAAATAATGTTTTTAAGATAAAAAGTATGTATTGGGTGCAGTTGATTCGAGCAATATTTATCTAGTTAAACTATCAAGTAAATGTGTATGCAAGACCTTTGCTTTAGCTCTTATATTTTAATCTTTAAAAGGAAAATAATACTTTTACCTTAAAAACTTCTACTAGATTAGATTTCTTGTTGGTTTCAGTTTCATGGATTCATTAAATGTACAAAGCAAATATCGTAACTTGAAAGTAACTTTTTTCCCTATAAAAAAAACTGTTAAAGAGAATATGTAGACTTATAGCCCATTTTATCAAAAACTCCCCCAAATATCTGTAGAAAACCTTGTGTAACATATCATTAATTTGCATATGAAAAACAAAAACAAAAAAACAGATTGATCTTTCTAGACATTAAATGATGCAAAGTTATATTAATATCATGACTAGACTGTAAGAAAACATATAAGAACAAAAAAGTTTCTAGACATTAAATGATGCAAAGTTATATTAATATCATGACTAGACTGTAAGAAAACATATAAGAACAAAAAAGTTGGTGTCGACTCAGCAAGAGTGTAGTTATCAACACCCATTTCATTGACCGGCTAAACTAAGACACCTGTAATTACAATTTATCAATAATGGTAACTGCCCAATGGAAAAGACAATCGTATAAGTTGTAAAGTTATACAGATATCAAACGTGGCCTGATTATTTAATTCCTTTAATAGTTACCAGGATTTGTTTATCTCTAACCATACCTTGCAAAGGACATAACAAAAACTGTCATATGGGAAAAAACAGGCAATTTGGAAACTGTTTATCTCAGATAAAAGCAAAAAAGCATAGTTTCACTGGTATTTATGAGTGCAGAGTGTGGAAAATCAATGACTTGAACCATGTGATGTGGTCTGAAGAATCATGTTTCACCCTGTTTTGAACTGATGTTATATTAAAAATATGAAGAAAAACACATGAAGCACTTAAAAGTGCTTAAAATATCCAGACAACATTCTTTTGGCAGGGATTGAGTACTTTGATTTGTATAGAAAGAAGAGTAACATTTAGTGTTTTCCCAAACCTTCTTGATGATCACATACATCCCACACTGCTGAAGAATTAGTTGTTATGTAGCCTCAACAAAAACTAAATCTCATTAAACATCCCACACACAAAACAGTCATGTATACAAGATACAACATGTTATCTTACAAACTATGCTATTTTTAACAAAAGTGTTGGTACTGCTTGAAAGATATCTTAACAAAGTGAGAAATATTTCACCATGGAAATGGCAATTTTGTTTAGCAATATGATGTTGAATAGTTATATTTCTAAAATAATAAATCAATAATTATATAGCAAACAAGAAAGAATTATTTGAAAAAAAAAGAGTTTAGTAAAAAAAATCAAATGACCTATTTATATATGTACTATTAAAATCTATGAGCAAATGGCACTGACCAGAACTCGTGATGTATATGCACTATTCACAGCTATTCCAGTAATAATCTTTTCTTCAACATTTGGTGCTAAATTTTCAAAGCTTGGGGAAGTTGTGAATAAAGTCCCTATAACAGAAAAAGTTATGAAGTATATATATTTATAAATGTACACCTACCCACACAATGCATATAAATCTATACAGAAATGTATATACAAAACTCTTGGAAGTGTTATTTGTCATTCATGTATAAAATGTTGTTAATGGCTGCAACTACTGTTAAAAATTGTTCTGCAGTACCTCCAATCATGGTGTCAGAAAATTACTTTTTTATTATTATATATATATATATAGCAAGGTAAAATATATTGGTGTGTTGGACTAAGGATTATTCTACAGTACATGTCTGTGATATGTTACCAATAAATTTGATGATAAATGAACAGCACACACTCTGCTTGTTTTAAAATAATATATTCAAAACAAGTTAAACGTATGTACAAAAATTCTTTACATTATATATATCATAGTTGTATCTTAAATACTATACAGTTCTCTTCTTCTTGTCAAAAGTCCACTTCGGTCAATTCATTTGTTTTAGAATTAGCTGAAAAGCCGAACTATCTCTATTTTTTATCTTAAACACTATCAGTGTATAATTCACTTATTCCTTTTCCTCTTTTTCTTTTATCACAATAGTATCAGTGTATAATTCACTGTCGTTGAGCTACCCTTATAGAACAACCACCACCATGTCAAAAAAATTAAGAATACAAGCAGGTAAAAAATCTTTATTTTAATGTGTGATAATGTTCACTAATCTAAAATATGAAAGGTTAACTGTCATACATATACTATTAAATCATTCAACTAGGTAAAACACTAAATATAGGGGTTGTTTACAACCAATAGTAACAGTTTGCATTTTCATTCCTGCTTCTGGCCATTCCTGTGAACCATGATTATAAAGGTTAAAATGCTCTGACCCTCCTGTTGAAGTTCAGTTTAAGATGGTTATAGTGATGTTGGAAAAAAAATGGCCCCTTCTAGGAAGGTTATACAGAGGTTGAGTAAATTATATTAAAATGATTTTGGAATGTCACCACTTCATTACAGTCCAAGTCACTAAAATCAGTCACGTTCTATCTGTCTGATAAAAAAAATGGCTTCCTTGTAAAGTTGTCATGTCAAAAACATACCACATCTCCCTGCAAACTTTCCATAAACCATTTAGTGTATGAGATTGATGGTTTCTCATCACCATTTCAACAATCTGATCAGACAGATATCAGGTGACTTGACTGATATGTCTTTGTAAGGAATAGTTTGAATACCCATTTCATTCTGTAGCTGCTTGAGATATGTGACAGTTGAATGAATATGTCTTGGAAGCAACTAGTGTACATGTGATTTGTGTCATTGTTCCATACAGCAATTCTTGATTATGTTACATACTGTTGCCTGTGACACGTGGACAACTTTTGCCACTGATCTTTGTGTTGGTAGGTTCTCACCTGTTACAATACATAACAATGTGCTTACCATGGGTGACATATCAGTTGTTGCGGGTCTCTTTTCTGGATGGTCCTAGTCCCTAAAGTAGATCCATACTTCATTGTTTTTGATTGCCACTAAGATCAAACGATATTCTTGACATGGAAATTCTAAATCCTCAATCTATTTAAATCTTTATGATCCAAGTATATGAATATTATGAATAGAAAAAAGCTGTTATGTAGCCTTCTCAAAAGTGATCAATTTTCCATGACATCACACTGGTTATGAAATGCCAGAAAATGTCAAAATGTAGTTCTGATGCATACCATTCCACTGTGACTTTATATCAGCTATGGTTGTCACATAATTTGCTGATTTGAGCATTTAAAATGTTTTAGTATAACATACTCAACCATCTGTATCATAGGTCTTTCTGAAACAAAGTTCTCCTATCCCAAAATTATAAAAGCATGCAAAGAAAATGATATCTCTATTGTTGAACAGTATCTGTAAAGCAAGGGAAGACATGATTCCAGTACAGGGAAAACCAGAATATTCCACGAACAGTTACATATCACACACTTTAACAATGAAGAAGATCAGATAGCTTGTAACCAAGAGGTAACACAAGAACATAGTTGTCCAATGCAACTTAGGAACTTCCCTTCGAAATGTACATAAGAATTAGGTCTACAAAAGGCATGTTCACAAGCTCCTTCTAAAGCATACAGCCAACATATGATTAACAAGTATATGACAAATGGAAGTATATCAACAGCATATGTCTACTTAAATGTCTTCAAAAATCCAGGAAATTAATCATTATGCTACTGCTGATAAAACATTTCAGATGTGGTACAGAACATATTGGGAAGGTTTCCCAAGATATCTATGGTAGATCAAGTTACGACTGTAATGGTAAGGTGAATGTCCACACCATCAGAAAATTAACAAGTTGAACCCTAAATATTATCAGGCTAACTTACTGACACCACTTTCTCATGAGAGAATGTACTAACTTAAATTTTGCATTACATGCCATCAAATAATTCAGATTCATTTTGGGGCAGGTGAACTTTTAACTTTCAAACCAAATAAAACTGCATACATAAAAGCCAGTCATTTTTTGTACAGCACAAAAACCATAAATACTGTACATAACACTACAAATGAACTTCAGTACTATTTCAGTAACAGAATAAATCAACCTCCAAGATATTCCCAGGAACACATTCTAAACAGGATATTCAATTCATTAAAATGAAAACTTCATACACTACAACAAAGCAACCTCAATCTGATAGGTTTGAGTATCTACATCTCTTCTACAGAGGATTGTTCATGGTATATTGTAATTATACAAGAATGCATGCCTAGGTCTTACACCTGATTTCCACCACTAATGATGCTGTGTGAGATGACTCTGGTTAAAGACTTTTGTTTTGTAATGTATTTTTGACAGCAGGTGATCCCTCCCACACACACACACCTACTTTCTTTCCAAAGTCCACCAACCGTGCAAAAGGTGCAGAAGGTGTTGTCTTGAATAATTGGCTGAATGTTTTGTCGTGATAAAAAAAACCATACTTTACTGGCATCCAGTCCATACAAAGATGGTTTACCACAGGTGTAACCACTATGGCTCACTGCTATAGTTGGTACTTGCCACAGGCATAATCGTGGCTCACTGTTATGGTACTTACCACAGATATAATCATGGTTCACTGATTTGGTACTTACAACAGATATAACCATGGCTCACTGTTATAGTTAGTACTTGCAATAGGTCTGATGCTGACTCACTGTTGCAGTATATATATCACAAATATAATCCTAAAAATACAGTACTTATACTGATATAATCAAAAGTAACTTCCATTGTACTATTACCAACTGTTACAATATGTTTAATTCTGTCCAGATACTTACCACAGATGTAACTCTGAACAACTGTCATGCGGTTTGTAGTTAATGTACCAGTTTTATCAGAACAAATTGCTGTAGCATTGCCCATTGTTTCACAGGCATCCAAATGTCGTACCAGGTTATTATCTTTCATCATTTTCTGTCAATATAATGTATTGAAAAAAACAATTAAAATCACATTAAATAAAGCTGCAGTTATTATAACTGTTTCAATACATTAACATATTATTATCTTCTCCTAGCACTTATGTATAGGATGACAACATTAGTTTGTTACAGTCAAAAGCAGACATTTATTCTTTAAAGATGCGTGCAATTATACAATTTTAACTACTGCAAAATTTCTCAAATCTAATATTAATAATAACACACACACATATAGCTTCATTTGTTTGTCTTTTTAAAACAAAGCCACCACAGATCAAACCCCAAATTTGAGTGTTGTAAGTCCATAAATTTACTGCCATCCCATCAGGAGACAAATAGCTTGATAACATTCTTTCTAAATTTCTACTTTACTTCAATTGATATATATTACAATCAATACTGTAAAGATTAAAAGGTAAAATACAATAAAACTACCTAATTTTATGAACTTAGATCTAAATCTGCATTAAAAGCAAAGTTACAGTTGATCACTACTTATTCAATCACAAATTAACAGTGATGTGTCATTTATGATAGTTCTAACTTCATTACAAGTCAGTAAATATTATCAAAACGTATCTGCTAGAATTACTATTGTTTCTAATCTTTACCACCATTGAAATGGTGAAAATTGGTTTCTCAAAAAAGGATGCAAAAAAGCAAACATAACTTGTGGCACTTGCTCAGTAGGCCAGGAAATGGCCCATAAGGACAGAAAAATTGGTTCAAATCAGACATTAAAATTACTTAAAAAGTAGGAGACACTGAAGTCATGCAAACAAATTTCTGAATTTAGAAGAAAAATTAAAACCTTGGTTTAAACACTTTTGTACTTTCTTACACTATTTGCATTTTAGTCTTCTCCCTTCAGTTGCAATGAATTATAACTTTAGAATTAAAGTTATTTCTTGTAGATGATAAAAAAAACATTTATCATAAGCTTTTCGAAACTGAGATAAGTTGTGCTTATTAAAATGAAAAGTTAGAATGAAATCATTAAGTTGACTGTACAAGGCTAAATATTTAGTCACTGTTTTATTACAGCAAACATAGATATTACAAGTTAAACATATAAATGCTTACAGTAATACATGAAACTGATTCAAAATTTAGATAGGAATATATTATTTACCTTAACTGAATAGGCTAGCGCCAAAGTGACAGCTAATGGAAGCCCTTCAGGAACAGCCACAACCAGGACAGTAACACCAATGATGAAAAACTTGACTAGGAATTGAGTATAGTATGCTGACCATGATAGTTTTTTTATGACAAACATCTTGATAACAAAACGAATTATGAGGATGATAACTGTTGAAACAGCAATTGTGGAACCTGGGAATAAAAGTAATCAATATTAAATCTTTAAACATAATTGCATTATGTGAATGTGTAGATTATAAGTGTGGCTATATTATTTAACAGGACTTTGTTGGTTTCTTCTAGATTAACTGAAGTTCCTAACCACTCCTAGCAAAATCTGGCAAGCTCCATCTAGATTGAAAATAGTTTTTACATATTTTAAAAACAATTATCTCTTTCTTCCATTGAATTATATCTAGCTTTTTAATAAGTTCTAACACGATCTAGGAGGTTTTATTTAAACACAGTTCTTCCATTCTAAAACAGATTTAACATACTGAAATATACTAATTATGTCACTGAACTAGAAGTATTTATCACAATACAGATCTGTTCTACCAAACATAAGTTCTAGAAATGCTGTAGCTTTGTTCTTTAATTTCTAAGTTTACTTTTGTAAAGAGATTAACTGATTGCTTAACAGTTTTAAAGTTTTAAGCTTGAAAGTCACACAGAGGTAACTTTATTTCAAATTTTCAATGGGACAACTTTTTTATATTTCTATCTGTTGAAGAGATATTTTTTAAAAATTAAACAATCATTTCAATGTGTTTAACACACTTCTATTTGTTGCTTAATTTTCATACTACTGAACTTACTATTAAAATAAATGTCAAACATATAATTTATGCTTAGAGAAGCTAAATATTATTGGAAGCTTTTAGTAAAAACCTAGATGCTTTATGTTATATAGAAAATTACATTTCAAGCTTAATGAAATTAATAAATAAAAAGTAAAATTTAGTAATATCTGTAAAACATAAAAGAAGTAACAATTTAAATCACTTCTCTTAATAGAATGAATAAAATATACCAAACTGTAATAAAGTATTAGATAAATATTAACCTTTTGTGATCATAACTGAAAGTGTCACATTCAAGATCTTATTTATGATGTAGTTTGTACAATTTGTAATTTAATGACATAAGCAAAAAGCTTAGATATATTTTGTTATTTTTTATTTTCATACGAACTATTCTGAAAAACATTTTTTATCTAATTAATCCTACACACTCTCCTGTGGTAACTGATTATTACACGAGTAAAAATCAGTGTTATGACAGATGCACGAGAGTGAACAGTCACTACTATATTTATTTCTAGTATATAGGCTAAACCCAGTTCCACAATAAATATTTATAAATGAACTAGAAAAACATGGGCACAGTCACATGTAAACTGTTGATCAGCATTCAATTTAAAATAATTCAGTATGACAAAAATATAATGACAAAAGAAGGAGTTTGGCAAAAACACAACTGTAACATTAATGTTTTTTTTAACAAGACCTGACAGTTCTTTACCTGCATAGCCAATCTGAATAGCTAACTTAGTAAGTTTGGCCTGAAGTACAGACTTTTCCTTTTTAGCATTTTGATCTTCATCTACGTCCCTGGATAGCCTTGGTTCTGGAGTGGCAAGTGCCTCTTTACTATGGTTGTTGGCAGTGTTAGCATTGATTAAGGTAGTACTGCCTGATATTGGTGCATCCTCATCTAGATGATCAAAAGACATTTACAAATAATGAAAATATTTTTGTTAAAAATATCAACAAAACAAAAACTACTTGAAGTTTTCATTCCTTTTATAAGAAATGATTAACTGTTCTAAAATGATCAAATCAATAAGTTGCTGAATTAAACTAATGTATTTTTACAGTTCTTCTTCAGTTATAATTTGAAACTACTAAAAACCTTGTTCATGAAAAGCAAAAAACATCAGAAAAGATAGATAACTTTTTGATGGAACATTTAAGTTGGTAGTTGGCATAATATGACACCACAATTTAATCACTCAGTAAAAAATAAATTTAATGGTAAGTTATGAATCAAAAGAAAATTTTAAGCAAACTAAATATGAATTGCATAGATGACTTATGATTTAAAATAAAAAGTTTGTGCATACGGAATATGAAACATTTAAACTTGTTACAAATACAATAATAAAAACAAAACTGGTGAATTAACAATTAGATGAGTTATAAATTAAAACTAAAGTTTGTTTGTTGTTAACAATATAAGCCTATGGTCTTACTGTTGAGTCACTGCGGGACCAAAACTAAAGTTTTATGACAAATTAATTTAGAACAATTAGATTAACTAAGTTAAATTTTTTTATACAAATTGGACAAAAAAGAACAATTAGATGAGTTCATATTAAAACAATAAATCACACAAAACTAATATGGGATATTTAGATATGTTATGAATAACGACAATCATAAACTGAATATGGAATGACTAGATGCGTTATAAGTTAAAATCAAAAGAAAGAAAGAAAAATTATATTATTTCAAAATTAAAATAAAAGGTTAATGCGAGCTCAATATGCAAAATAATTAGGTTAATTATAAATCTAAACAAAAAGTTTTATATAAACTGAATAAGAACAATAAGATGATTAATTAAACTAAAACGTTCAGGCAAACTTAATATGTATCATAAAATGTGTTATTAAGTTAAGAAAGGTTCATTGTTTGTTTGTTTGTAGTTAAGCACAAAGCTACACAAAGGACTATCTGTGCTGTGCCCACCACGGGTATCGAAACCCGGTTTCTAGCGTTGTAAGTCCGCAGACATACCGCTGTGCTACTGGGAGGCAGAAAGGTTCATACAAACAGAAATGGGACATTTAGTTAAATTATCAATTAAAATGAAAGGCAAATTCAAAATTAATGAGAAGCACATAAGTTTTAAAGTTATATTAGACTTTAAATAAATTTCATATTCTAAAATTAAGTGACATTTAGATTAATGTGGTTGCCTTTCTAAGCAAGTTTTAATATTTCCAGGTAACTTAAACCTTCTATAAAATATTCATAGATTTGACATTCCTTACATACATCATTTTACATGTATATTCAGTATTGTAAATAATTATGAGAAATACACAGATAATACATAAACAAGTAATAAAACTGTCAATTTACCATTATTACAATACACTAGTATTTTGAACCTTTTTTTAAACAGAGCAGTAGACCTGGTTTTTATGCCACCATTAAGTTTATCAATGTATGATTCTTAACTATTGTTCCAGTATTACTCCTCACAATTCAGCAATGTTACTTGATATTTTTAGTTTCCAGCTAAATCCATACAGTCTTGATAAAATTCATATTGAGTTTCTGTGCAGGCCAAGCCATGTATGTAAGTGTTCAATTAGTCTCTTTTTCATTCAAGTATTGTTTTACTATAGTTACTGCATGCTTGGTTTGTTCTGTTGAATTTTCCACAAAGCTACATGAAGAATATCTAAACTAGCTATCCCTAATTTTTAAGTTAAGGACAAGAGGGTAGACAGCTAGTTAATATCACTCACTACCAAATATTGGGCAATTATTTTCTGATCCATGACCCCAAGGTGTTTTTTCTTTAGTGGTAATGGGATACAAACCACAGAACCTTAGAATCCACAGTGCCACGATAAGCCCTTCATAAGCCCACTAACTTGCTGGAAGATGAATTTCTGCATAATAGGTCTTGTTCCCTGAGGTAATGAAATGAACAAATAAGAATCTGAATACACCTATCAGCAGTCATGATACCAATTCTTTGTTGATCTCCAACACCATTGGCTAAAATGCAACCCATAGTTGCATTGGTTCCCCAGCATGCTTCATTGCAGACATTGTATGGTGATGACATTGACATTCTTTCCATTTTATGGGGCTAATTCTTCCATACCATTATAGAATGTAAATTTCAACACTATGGTAATGCTTCACTGATCCCTGTTGACAGTTGAATGAGCCAGGGTGAGAATACTTATCATATACTTGTACCAAAGGCATGTCATAAGGGTTCTGCTTGAATAAACATACTGATCAAATTTAGGACATGAAATAGCTGTCATGGTATCCCATGCAGTGCCTTAACTATATAAAAAGAAGCTACCAAGGAACTAGCATATGGTACTGGTATATAATACAATAAATCAATTTAATAGCACTCCACAAATAAACCTTGATAACAGTGTTTAACACTATATATTAAGTTTTGTTGTCATGCCATGGCCCAAAAAGCCTAGAGAATTGTCAGTAGAGCAGAAAGCTTGCATTAAAGCTTTATGTGATGCTGGTTGGACTCTCCGACAAATTGCTGCACACTTGCAATGCTCCCCAAAAACTGTCAAGTACACCCTAGATTGTGAGACTGAGACAAGTAAATTTGAAAATAGGAAAGGAAGAGGCAGGACACCTAAACTCAATGATACTGATGTTAAGTAGGAAAGGAAGAGGCAGGACACCTAAACTCAATGATACTGATGTTAAGTATCTTTGTTTATGCAGCCTTTGGGGCAGAAAGAAGACTGCAACTGATCTCAAGCATGAGATAAACAACCACATATCAAATGACAGAAAAGAGTCCAGATCTACAGTATTAAGAAGACTCAATGGGAATGGAATATTTGGTCATGTAGCACTAAAAAGAACCTTTACTTTGATCT